GCTCGCGATGTCACGACTCAGCATGCAAATCGTGTTGTTAAAATGTAAGCGTTTCTGATGGTCGAAGAAAAAGAAGAAACGTTTTACAATTTTCATTTAGAGAATCGTTTATATTGAGCGCATATTTCGTTGTGAGTATGGTCGTTACCAGTTAGAGTTAGATTATCGTTGTCGAGTTAGATTACGGCCGGATTTGTGTACGACTTTGCCTCTTTTGCTATTTTGCGAAAATTCCCGACAAATCTGATTATCATCACCGAAATTTACGGGATTAAAAGAAAAGAATATTTAAGAAATAATACGCCGGAATAATAATAATAATCGGAATAATACGCGAATCAATAATTCACAGTCACCTGCAAAGTTAATGCAATCTTGCATATACTGTTCTCCATTAGTATTTACGCACGTTTAGATGAAACTCTTTAATCTAATTTTGATTTTTGATCTCGTTTCAATTGTACACGGTATTAACTATGTATATCTCGAATAAGTATGGAGATATATTAATTGAAATACTTCAGTCATAGATTACAAAATAATCTAATAATTATATATACGTTACATATGAGATATAGATTATATAGTATATATGTTATATAGAAAAAAATATATTATATAATCTGTATTATTATTTGAGTGATATATTAATCGAAATACTTCAATCAGGAGTAGATTCAAAAATAATTTATAATAGATAAAAATGATAGATGATATTGATTGGAATAAGTGGGAAAAGAATCATTGAAAATGGTTAATATTCAATAGAGATAAGTGTATAAGTTGGTTTCAGACTTTCGAACGAATGAAAATGTATTTCTAACCACATTCTAGAAATATATATATCATGAAACTTGCATATAACATGGAACTTGCATATAGGGTTCTTGCCCTAGTTTCAATTTAGCAGATCATTTCAGTTATTACAGAAAATAGAGAGGATTAACGGTAGAAAAATATAAAAGTTACTGACGACAGGGAAATATAAAAATAGAAGAGCGTTGAAGCAAATATAAAAGGCATAAAGAAATATAAAAATATTAAGATGCAAAGAAATATAAAAGAATTGCACCGATTGTTGAAATATTTATAAACCGTGGAATCTGTAAAAAAGCTAAACTCGTTCCGTTTCCAAAGTTCGTGTTTTCTTCTCTACTTTATTTTCAAATTTCGACTAACATACGTATCGTATAAACATCTGACGATGCAGTAAAGCATACTTATCATTGATATACATTTCATTATTATTATCCTAGAGAAAGTAGTATTTCGGAAAGTAGTTTTGGGACAATCGAGTCCTAAGTAATTAAAAAGAAAGAAGACGAAAAATTGTAATTCCTAACACAGCAATGAATTCAGTAACGAAAAGGAAGGTAAAAACGATGGATACGATATTGCAGAGTCAATTGATACTTGGTCGATTCATCTTAAGCTTTTCAAAGGAACGATTCTTTTGTAAGTTTTACAAACGCTACTCTCTCGGCTCTCGTTCAATAGGAGGAATCGACGGTGCTAAGAAGGAACGTTTCGTTCGAGTTTTTCCACCTCTCCGGGGAAAGGTGTTTTCCTCGCGTCCGGTCCTTCGTTGATTCGCGTCTCATCTGTTTGCCAATTAACGATCGTGCGCACCTGCAAGCGATACGTGAGCTTTGTCTCGTTGTTCTCCGTAGAACTCCGCCAATTCTGGCCGTCTCTTCTCCCCCTCGCCACCCTTTATTTCTTCTTTGAGCCTCGGTCCCTTCGTTCGAACTTCTTAACTTTCGACTTTGAACAGAGTCGAGCCACGATCGTGGGACTCGGGAAGGGAGATACGAGAGGGAGAGACAGCCCCAGTCGCGAATTTAATTGAACAATTTTTCCGCTGCGAGCTCTGCGTTGTTATTACTTTGTCCCTGATAGAGGCGGAGAGAAACTACGATGATAAAAGAAACTTTTTGATAGAAATGAAAAAAGAGAGAAAGAAAAAAAAGAAGATAAAGGGAAAGGAAAACGAAAAAGCTCGGATTTTGTTCTCGGGAAAGAGAAATGAGAAACCCGTCGTCGGGTTTAAAAATCTTGAGAGAAAAGATTCGGATGTTCAAAGTTATACAACATTGTTGCAAGATGTATACGTTAGAGTTGTGATTGTACTATCTGTTTTCTTTAGTCACGTTTTACTGTGAATTCTTTCTTTGAGTATAGTCGGTATATAATTGCTGTGTAATGCGCATCGTGACTATTATTTAGTAGTTCACGGAAGTATTCAAAATTTATATATTTTATATATATATATA